ATTATTAGGCCATACGTAAATAACAAAATAACTTAAAGCAAGATTGGGAAACGTAAAGTCCGAAACAAATCTTTATATTAACGGCCATCAGTCAAACAATACTGTTTGGTCTGGGTCTAAACAGAGCGCGTTGTGTTTGTCCCTCTCGGGGGGCATACTCCCACAGGTCTTAAATCTGGGACTCCCCACCATTTGACCTTAGAACTGAAGAAGCTTCTCGGTTGAGAGGTGAAACGTCTTCAAGCAACTTAAAGAAGTCCAGACACTTTTCTTTCCAAGCTCCTTTGACTATGTTGACCTGGATGACTGAGAACCTTCACAGACGTTGGCAATAATAATAAAATGATGTAGTTGTAATGTTGTACGAGTTATTCAGTATACAAAAGTCTTGAGCCACTCCTCATTTCTTTGTTTTACTTCAAAGGTCTCAGACTTATAGTTCTTTTGTATCTTTAGTTACTTTGTTATTAGCAACCTATCATAAAAACACATCATTTGTTTCAATTTCTTTGGTTGAATCTGTGAAAAATATAGCTGAAATAAGATAACACAGTTTGACAGACATAAAATAGTATTTTTGCACCAGCAAGGTGATTCACAAAGAGATATAGCTGAAAGTTTGCAATATCTCAGCATGGTGTGCACTGTGTCCTTAAAAAATTTGAGGAAACTGGACAAGTACAGCAGATGAACACTATCTAAAAGTCACGTTTTTAAGAAACAGGGGGAAAAAATCCAGCAAAGACCTGACACTGTCAGGTGAGGCTTTATGCAGCCAGGAGTGGTGGTAAGGAGGACACAAAGTGCAGACTTTCAGAGATGGAACGTAAACTCAAACTTAGATTTATTGTAAAATAAAAACCAAAAACTAAACTGAAAACAACAAAACCAAACAGGCTGACAGGCAGAACACACAGCATGATAAAACGGTAGATCATGACACAGACAGAGGAACACACAGGGCTTAAATACACAGAGGGCGCAATCAAGGAATGGAATGCAGGAGGGAATCACAGCTGGGACAATTCAGGGCTAACGAGACAAGGGAAGCAAAATCAGGGACTTTCAAAGTAAAACAGGAAACATAATACAGAGACGCGGACTTGACAAGGGGATAAAGCTGACAGAGGAGACAGAACAACTATAGAACACAGAGACATAAACCATAGGACAGAGAACTCTAACAAATAAACCAAAAGACTAGAAATGATCAAAAATGGCTAAATCAAAGTTCAACAATAATGAAAACTCAAAACTCTGGGTCAACGACCCAGGTCTCCTAACAGACACAGGACACGAGAAATGCATCTGGACCTTCAGCTGATCATTGAACTGTTCATTGAAGCCTCATTGAAATGAGTCTCAGTGAAAGCGTGGTCTCAGTGAAAGCGTGGCTGTCAGGAAGCAATCATTAATGGAGGGAAACAGGGAGGAAAGGCTGACATCTTGGCGATCTTTGTCACAATTGTTGAATTATGAATTTTTGATCCATCATGTAATACCATCTGGAAACCATCTGATTGGCAGCAGCTTCATTTTTCACCGTGACAATGATCCCAAACACAATGCCAATGCAGTAAAATAATACCTGGATAGAAAAACACATAGTGGAGCACTATCGGTCATGGATTTAGCCTCCCCAGAGCCTGGATCTCAACATTATCGAAGCAGTGTGGGATTATGCTGACAGAGAACGGAACAAAAGGCAGAAACAACCAAAGAAGAGCTTTGAATGTCCTTCAAGAAGCCTGGAGAACTATTCCAGCTGCCTAAGACTGTCCTGAAGAATAAAGATGGTCACATGAGTGACTCTCTAATGAGTTTGTACAACTCATTAGAGTTGTACAAACTCTGTTTTTGCCTCATATATTTGCACGTTTCAGTAAATCACATTTTCCTAGAAAAATATAAAGAAAGGGTTGACTCAAGACTTTTGCATAGCACTGTAGTATAAGGGTGGAACAGTAGCAGTAAAAATAATACCTGTAAAGTAGCCATAGCAACTACAAACATCTGGGGAAAAAAATTCAATTAAGTACTGTGTTTACAAAGTGTGATAGCGTACATGTTACTCCTGTGTGCCTCAGAGCTCCACTGCGGTGGTCATTAAAAACACATCAGTGAGTCACACTGTTGCACTGACTCACATGTTCCGTTATTACCATGAAAACAACAGCAAATGTGGATCAATCCGCTACTAAAAATAGTCCATATTAAATGTACTGTGAGCCTTTCAGATTTTTTGTTTTTTTTAATGGGATTTGCTGGTAGAAGATAGAACTGTAGTATATTCTGTTGAGTAGAGTTTGACCGGACTTGTCTTTGTCCTTAGATGAGCCAGCGATGGAGGGTCTGGGTATGACTCCACAACTGGAGACTGGAGAGCTGCTGATCATCACCACTGTGCTGTTGCTGTGGGCAGGTCAGCTTGCACCAACAGACACCATCCAATGGACACTCTAAGCATCTCTTCTGAATAATTTTCCTTTCTAACTCCGTTAACCGCCTTAATGTATTCAATAAAATTCATGTGCTAATTTAATATGACCTGAATCTAGTGCTTGAGACTGCAAACTCATCAAGCGAGGGATGTTTTTGACTTCTTTTCTCTTTGCTTTCCACACCGCCAGCCGTCATCGCCCTTTTCTGCCGGCAGTACGACATCATCAAAGACAACGACTCCAACGGCACCAAGGAGAAAGCCAAGCGGCCGCTGGTCCGAGCCACTTCCTCTTACTACAATGCCTCAGCTGGCAGCTCGCCCATCTACCACAACGGAGCTGTCCGCAGCAGCAGGGTGACTTATTTACTAAAACTTCCTCCTCTTCCTCCCCTCTTCGTCTTGCTGCAGAAGTCCTCTATAATACACGCTCGCTCCTGGCTGCCAGGAGTATTTTGTTTCCTCTGTAGAGTCTTTGTAGTTGCATCAGAGATCTCCTAGCAACTAGAGCTACTGCCATCGCAGCTAAATATAAAACAGCCGGGCTGAAAACAGAGAGGAGCGCAAACGCTCATTCAGTTGTTGCTGAGCATCTCCTCAGTTAAAGTGAGCAGGCAGACGATTTGTTTTTGTTTTTGCACATGCGAGCAGCTTTAATTAGACACACCAGCTACAGGTGTCCTGATTGCAGCGCCCCCTAATGGCCACATTTCATTTATCACCCATTTCGTCATCTGCAAGATTACTGGTGCAGAGAATAACATCAGATAGAAGAAGATTTCTTCACTTGCGGTGTTGAGTAGAGAAAGCGAGGCTGCACGTTAATAGAATAAGGAACTATCCAGCAGCTTGAATCCGGTGCTGTGAAAAAGTAACTGCCCCCTTTATTAAATCATGTTTTGTGTCGTGACATTTATCAGTCTGGAAAGGGTTAAAAAGTCATTTCTGAGTCTTTGGGACTCCAGTGAACCACAGTGAGAGTCATTATCCACACATGCAGGAAACTCGGAACAGCGGTGAAGCTTCACAGGAGTGACCGACCAACCAAAATTACTCCAACAGTAATTCGATGTCTCATCCAGGAGGTCACAAAAGAACAACAACAACATTGAAAGAACTGCATGACTCACTTGTATCAGTTAAGGTCAGAGTTCATGATTCAACAATAAGACAGAGACTGGGCAAAAATGGAGAAAACCACTGCTGACCAAAAAGATCACAAAGGCTCGTCTCACATTTACCAAAAACTTCTTGATGATCCCAAGAAAATATTCTGTGGACTGACGAGACAAAAACTGAACTTTCTGGAAGGTTTAAGTCCCGTTACATCTGACATAAAACTAACAGCATTTCATAAAAAGAACATCACAGCAACAGTCAAACATGGTGGTGGTAGTGTGATGGGGCTGCTTTGCTGCTTCAGGACGACTTGCTGTAACTGATAGAACCATGAATTCTGCTCTCTACCAGATAATCGTGAAGGAGAATGTCCAACCATCAGTTCAAGACCTGAAGCTCAAGAGCACTTGAGTTATGCATCAGGACAATGATCAGAGACACACCAGCAGAAATAAACAAAATGTTTTTGGAGTGAAGTCAAACTCTGGATTTAAATTAGATTGCAATGCTTAGTACTGACCTTAAACAGGCCGTTCATGCTGGAAACCCTCCAATGTGTCTGAATTAAAACAATTCTGCAAAGAAGAGTGGGACAAAATTCCTCCACAGCGATGTGAAAGACTCATTGCCAGCGGATTTTCGTGAAGCAGACGCTCTCATGACTCATTTAACTGCAAAATGATCTTGGTGCTCAGCAGCCTTGCTTTTACAAGGGGGAGTACTAGTTAATTTGAGTCTCATGTTGCACAGAGATTCATGCTCATTTGGTGCAGACTGACGCAGATTGATTGCATGCTGGAAATCTGTGTTTCTGAATTTGCGTTTAGGATCATTTGCAAACTTTTGCCAAGTTGTCTCAGAGTGATTGCAGTCTGTTTCAAGACAGGTTGCCTCCCTCCAGGCAATCAAAAGTGGTCACGCTTTTGGTGTTGCAACTACTTGCAGCACTCGATCATGAAAAAATGCAGTGCAATCACCAGTTTTTCTAGTTTTCTAGTTCAATTTTCTGGTCGCAAAGAGGTTGACATGCTGTTTTTACTTTAGTGTGACGGAGACAGTCAGTTTGGTTTGGGAAAGGTTCACAGCTTGGATTAAAATACGGCTCTTCACAAAATGAACCATGGTTAGCCAGTGCATTTAGATGTAATGCCACTGAGTCCTTTAAAAGCTTCTATGTGACATGGTGAGTTTGAAGTGAGAGACAGCCTGTGTGACTCCAAATCATAAATGTGGAGTTTACAGATTTCTGTCCTCTGCTGCGCTCTGTTTTAAAATCTTTTCCTTTAATCCATTAGCCTGTCTATATGTATAAAAGAGTGTTTGTGGAGAGAACGTCCTGGAACATTTTGGCAGGGCATCTGTCTGTCGGAAGTTAATTCACACTTCCCGTTCTAATTGGCCTCTCCCGCTGCAAGAACCTGTGACTTCACTGCTCGCGATGTACGGGTCAATTGACCGCCCACCGCGCGCAGCTCACACTGTTTATTCATACAGGACGGCTTCCAGTGGTGTCAAAATGAGAGAAAGGCAGCGTTACTTTGAGCGTTTACGGAGCTGAAACTGCACTGGCTGGATTTAATGGTTAATTTAATTATAAAAACACCACTCTTATCTTAATTTAGTCTTTTCTTATTGGCATTTCTGCAGCTTTTAAGTGTCCTTACAGTTTATTAGCTACTTCTCGTGAGTTTAATCCTTTAAAAAAATAATTCATTTAGAGCTATGTCTACTTTCCTGGGGATATATGTGCACACACAGATTTCTGCAGAGATTTAAATACCAAAGCCCAATGATGGATTAAAAATAAAAGCATCCTACTTTAAATAGGACAGTCTTTAAATGAAAAGCTCCTGGGAGCAGTTAGTTCTCTGCTCACCCTCGCTCATTGATTGGCAAGTAGTCACACATTGGAGTCACACAAACCACCTGCAACTCAACACCTCAAAGACTAAGGAACTGGTTGTGGACTTTGGGAGGTCCAGAGCAGGTCCACTGCCGGTTCAGATAGAGGGGGAGGAGGTGG